AAACAGTAGCAACGGTCCCAAAGCATCTCTCCTCCCAGCTCAGGTGGAGGGAAATATACATCTAATTTCTTTATATGCAAATAGGATCCTTTCTCAGGCACAGTTCAGCTGTGAAGACCACTACCCTAGGAGAGCACTTGTCCACACCCCAAACTAAAGCAGTCAGTCAGCACGCCCAGAGAAAAGTCCCATCACTGTGCTGGCGAGGCAGCAGAAATGCCATTCACGCTGGCAATAACGATGTACTCACGCGATGCAGGCCCCTCAGGCAGCCAGGCCTCGGCTCGCCCTCTCATGGGCCCTTGTCCCACTGCAAGGAGGTGGCCCTGAAGCCCAAGGGAAGCAGAACTGACACCTTCTCTCTTCAGCCTCCAACACAAGGGGCAAAGGAAGGAGGGGGAGGGGCGGGGATGGGGGGACTTAGTTTCTGGAAACAAGAATTCAAATCCTGCTTCTCCTAAACCCTGAGTCACCTCCTCCTCTTCCAATAGATCAGTGTGGTGGGTAAACATTTCCAAATATGGACAAGCAGACTGGAGGATGTCAGAAAAAATCGCCCTTCTCTCCTCTAGCACTTGGATAGCATGTCCCACTTAAGACAATTCCTTACTCGGTGTAAATTATTAACCCCCAAAGATGTAGAATCTCAACTGTTTCCATCTTCCAGGGAGAAAGCTCCCTCAAGCCAAACAAGGAAAGTTTGAAAGGCTTTCAGTTCACCTCGGGAATGGGACCATCTGGAAGGTCCTACTAACCAAGTAAGTCTATTCGTTGGAAGGGAGGCAATATCAGGGCGGGAGCAGGTACACCTGAGAAGGTCGCTAAATGCCTAGTCTGTAACTCTGCCCCTCAGGTCCCAGCCCCTGACTATCTCAAGTGCGCTGTTTGCTGCACTAAGAGTCCTCCTGGCAGGGACGGAGGAGGTGGCAGACGGGGGGCGGCGGGGGGAGGATGACAAGTCAAAATTCAATTGGTAAAATTAATTCTGACCTCCAAGCCCTAAGAAAGGCAGAGAGAGGAAGAGAGGGAGGAAGGGAGGGCGGGAGATAGAACACGGACAAACTGTGGACTTCCCGATAGTTCCAAGTCTTTGTGTAGCTTTGTTCTGTGGCTACTTTCAGAAGCAGGGTATGTGGCATGTCTTATGAAACTGCTTATGCCCACCCCCAGGGGCTCTTTAATCCATAGCAGCACTGGTCAGGGAGCACGGGACCCAAGCCCTAACATCAATCACTCATTAGGATCGTAGCCAGTTCTCTTCTCTTAGTCCCCATGTTTTCATCCACAGATTTGGTAGATAGTCCCAGACTGGCCAACTGGGTGCCCTGAGAACAATTCCCACTTGGCCTCACCGGTCATCTCCGTTCTTTAAATTACTAACTTTCTATTTTCATAAACATGCCACGGGTGCTTGAAAACTAGCTAACATTTCTTAATGATCATTGCACATTTCACAAAGGAACACAAGCAAACGTGAATTCTGAAATAGGTAAGGAAACCGGTTCGCGCAGTGGCACAGCCAAGCCTGAGCCACGAGCAGGGTCCTTGTCCATGGTAGGCTGAAAGGAGCACCCGGTGACCCACACTGGTCACTGAGAAAATCAGACCACAGCCAACAGAATGTGTGCTCCTTCCCATATTCCAACAAGTGCATTTCGGCAGAGGAAAGCAGGATGGCCCAGGAGTTTGAGAGCCAACGGCCAGGGGCAGAGCACACAGAGAAGTACAGAAACCAGACTGAAAGCATGGGAATGTACCCTCTACTGAAGATCAGCTTCCAAATCCACAAGAGGCCTTTCATTTCCTTGGCACATGTATGTGTATACTCCTCCTGATCATTGAAAACCATCAACTCTGAGGTCTCAGATCAAGAAGGAACCATTAAAAAATGGTGAGGGGGCTGGGTCAGACTTCCTCCAGCTATACAGGGGCTCCCAGAGGAAAACCAAACTTAACATTAGTCCAACACCAATTCCTTATAAGGAATCAGGTATGTCTTCACACCCTACAATATCTTTACCTTGTTCTGACACTAACCATCCTTCCCACAATACTCTGCTTCTCTGTACAGCCATTACAATGGCCACACAAAACTCACATGAGCAAGTTGGAAGTGAGAATCAGAAATGTTAAGAATACAGTTTTTTGGTCTATAGCACCTCTTCTCATCCATCCTGGTAGGACCTCTCTGGACCTCAGCCCCAAGGAAAGGTTCCTTGGGCAAGTGTTACAACACTCCTTCAGCACTGATGAATGCCTACAGGGCACCCTCTGCTTGCTAGCCCAGAGACACTCGGCTTTACTTACTTAGTGGTAGGAAGCCCACCACTCTGTCTCATGGTCTCAGTGCTAAGGCCCCTGGTACTGCCTCTGTTGCCACCATCGGTACGCACAGATATCTCAGGCACATTTCACTCTCTTGGCTCTTCTTTCCAGGTGGTTGTGAGATTGTTTGTTTCTGCTTCGGGGTTAGAGTTGGCTCACTTCATCCCCAGGTCAATGGCAAAATGGACCAATACCTTCATCAGTCCCCTATTTGCATAACCTGTCCAGTTGTGTAGTAGGATTTACAAAGATTATGGAGAGAAGAGCCCAGACAAGCAATTCAATGACCATAAAGACCAGCAACCTCAATGCCTGGCGGCCCCAGTGATGCCCAGATCACTATCTCCTGCAGATGCAACTTCCATCTTCCCAACACGAGGTCCATCCTTTTATGGAACCAAAATGTGGTACCCTCGTCTTTGACCTCCTACTCCCTGTTCTGTTTAAGACCTTATTTAAAAAACAAACAAACAAAAACCTAGGTCTGTGTTAATGGCCTGTAATTCCTGAGAGTGAGCATGTATAATGAAACAAAGGCACCCAAGATCTCATCCCTCAGCCTCTCTAGCTACTTCCTGCCCACCTCACACTGCTGACTCCTTACTGCATTGGTAGCCGCTGACCTGATAGCTGTCCTTGTTTGCTTTCTGCCAAAAATTGCTACTTAGCAAAGCAACCCATTCTGCTTATGCATTGGTACTAGCCTGTGGACTCACAGGATGTGGGTGCTCTATCATATCCTGTCATTGACCAACAGGGGAAGAGAGACCTTTGAAAGCTAGGTCTTCATCAACCTCAATTCCACGGCCCATCTCACAACACCAACTCTCCTCGGCCAAGCTCAGTGCTGGAGACTGCTTCTTTGCCCTCTCCCTGTTCCTATTCGCTGGTCCTGCCAGACCTGAAACTATGCCCAGACTACAATGCTAATGCTCTTCCATGGAACACCAGAGAGAGAGCTCTGTGAGAAAAGAGGGCCTGGCCAATACCAAACAGCATCAAATAAGAACGGTGCCTGCAGGCCGGGCCTTAAGTTCAATGTGCTCCTCCCAGGGCTGGGAGCTTGTGATACCACAGCACATTCTGGACCTCAGTGTCTTCACACTAATATTGAGGAAAGCATTGTCTCCCACAGTTTGGGGGACACTGTTTGAATTTAAGGTTCTAAGTAGTAAAGACAATGAGACTTTCCATTTGCAATGCGCTTTACCAGGTAGTATAGTTTTCTGGAAGTTGCTGGGTACAAACTCCGATGCTCATCTAACGGCCAATGGTTTAAGTACAACCCAGGTTCCTCTGCAGAAAGGCCTGGCGATCTCCTTCTGGAAAGTCAGCCACAGAAAACCCCAGGAAGCACAGTTCTATGCTGACCCACACAGGGTGGCCATGAGTGGGTACAGACTCAGTAGGAATTGCTAAGACAGTCTCATTTAATCCCTGTGGCCATCCACCAGGGAGGTAGCACGATATGCAATTTAGTGAGAAGAATATTGAGGCTCTGAGGGGCTAAAGACACACACAAACACACACACACACACACACACACACACACGGCCAGGTGACAATAACAATCCACAGCCAAAAGAACACAAGTAGAGAAGCCACACTACTGAAGATTCCAGTTCCACCTCTGCTGTGCCCTATCTGACCTCTCACCGAAGGCTGGAGATCCGTGTGCACAGCTGGGTCAATTCAACACACAACCACTTGATGCGTGTGAAAGTAGACCTGTCTTGCAGCATTGTCTAGGTTGAAATCTCCATGGGGACCAAGTGCCAGGTCTTTCCCCTGCAGAACCACTGCGTAGGTTCACACTCATCTTTCAGTGAGCAGCTGAGCACTCCATCACTGCGCCACCAGCTCGCCTTCACCTAGAGCTGACCCATTCTAAACAGAAGCGATCCCACCTGAAAATGAGGGGTGAAAACGACCACTCTGCCCAGCCGCCCGAGCAGTGGTGAGCACCATCACATGAGGTGAGGTGATTAAAGTCCTCTGAAAGTGATGGGCATGCTAAAAGTGTCCAGGACTACGGTGTCATTCATTGTAAATGACTGTGTGTTCCCTTACAAAGACAAAAAGCAGCGAGGCCTGTCACGGGACAAAGAAACATGGAGACTTGAAGAATGAGAGGGGAAAAAATGCCCAATGTTCTGCCGGGTCGTATCCACACACTTCAGAGCTCAGGAGCAACTGTCAGATTCTCAACCTCCACATCACATAGCTCTCTAGCACGGCTTAAGACAACAATCTCCCTTGTCAACGACAAGCAAAAAGCGCGGTCAAAAGGAGGTAAGAGAGCTAGACGGTCAGAAGACACACCCCTCTGCCACCCCCAAGATCCTCAGCTCTAAAAACAGTGCCTGCGATGTTTTCCTTGGAGAAGTTGTTAGAAACACAGGCTCCGTGATCTCTGAAATAAGCCCCTGGGGAAATAAGCATACAGTAAGGAGCCCATGTACCACAAAGCACTAAGGAGTCTCCCAAGCATGAATTAATCAAAGGCATAGGAGATTTCAAGTTGCAAAAATCAAAAAGAGAGTAATCCCAAACCCATTAAGCCTCCACCACGATGGAGCAGGCTTAAAAAGGCTCATGGTTCACAGAGACACCACTGGTACTTCTGAATCCCAGGCAGGGGGCAAAGGGAGGAGTAGGGAAGGTCATTTACATACCGGAAGTCCTGGGCAGGTCCCTGGGAGGCAGAGGGGGTCAATCAGGGAGAAGCTCTGCAAGTACAAGTGCTGGCTGGTCCACTGGTGTGGCTCCTCTTCCTAGTCTGGATTCTCTTCAATTCCTGCAAATAGGCAAGTCATAGCTGTCATTTATGAAGGGGCCGGATCTTCCCCAGAAATACATTCCCAAGGCTGATGAGCACATAGGCCAATGATGTGTTCTGGTTTGCCTTTTTTGTAGGTGCTTCCTTGTGAGCTGATGTTTAAGAAAAGCGGTAAATTATTCTGCTGTGCCAACCGTGAGCCTGTGATTGAGTCCCCAGCATGCTACAGCAAAGGGCTAGAGCAAGCCAACAACTTCAAAGAGCCAACACAGCCAGTAAGAGAGAGGGCGAGCTATAACCAAGGACAGGATGTGGGAAATGCCCTGAGTTCAGAGATCAGCAGGATTCCTCAGGATGGGAGGAAAGGACTTTTGGGGAGGGTATTAAAAAGCGGTGGGGCAGAGAAGGTGCAATGGGAAGATGTGAACCCAGGTAATACAGTTTCAAGATCAGGGACGTACGTTCCATGGTTTAGCTGGAGAATACGTAAGTCGGTAGTGAGAGGTAGGCAGATGGGTGGAATTAAATGAAGATTCAATGAAATGTAAACTGAGCCAAATTGTTATACGTTAAGAAAACTAAAGGAGCCCTGGTGGCTTAGTGGTTATGGGTTGGGATGTGATTTGAAAGTTTAGCAGTTTGAAACCAGTAGCTGCTCCAAGGGAGAAAGATGGGGCTTTCTATAGGGCAGTTGTACCTTGTCCTATAGAGTTGCTATAAGTAGAGACCCACCTGGGAGCAGTGAGAAGGGAATTGGGCTTTGTTTATAAGGGCAAAGGCAGGTGGCTTGCTTGCTTGCTTGCTTGTAGCTCCAATCACACCATTGATCATATATATATTTCTGGTTCCTCACTGCCAGATAACAGCAACAACCACAACAATGCAATGAGTGTTCACTCTGCAGGGTACACACTAACTCAAGTCATGCACCAACACTCCTGTGAAGCGGGCAGTCTCACTCCCACAGGACTGGAGAAGAAATGAATGCTTAAAGAACAAGTACAATGCACAAAGTGGTACAGGCCACTCATGATCAGACTTCCCACTTCTAAGATTCAACTTTCCCACTGCTCTGGCTCCAGTTTTCCCTTGCATTTCTACGAGATCAGATCCTCCTCAGGTAACGAGCAAATCTAATAATCACAAGTAGCAAAAATTCCTCACCGGGTTCTGTCTCCCCGACCCCAGGCTTGTGGACTCGGAACCAGCCCTGTGTTTACAGTGCAGTGCATACAACCGACACAAACAACTGAATGTACTCAGATTGTGTCTGTGACAGTTGGGCCACAGAGGAAGCACCATTCTGACTGTTATGTCACCACTTCTCTGCTCTGAAATCAGGGAGGTTCCGAGGGTCCAAGGTTTCCAGGAGAGGCACAGCCAAGTGGAATGCTGCAGACCTAAGGAATCTCCAGAGGGAGATGGTCAAAGGAGTCAGGATATTCTATACAGTTCCTTATTGTTGCTGTTGTTGTTGTTGTTGTTGTTGTTGTTAGGTGCTGTCAAGTCAGTTCTGACTCACAACAACCCCATGTTCAACAGAACAAAACACACTGCCCAGTTCTGTGGCCTCCTCACCATGATTCTTATACTGGAGCCCATTGTTGCAACCACCTGTCTTTCCATCTCGTTGAAGGTCTTCCTCTTTCTCGCTGCCCCTCTCTACTTTACCACACCTGACGATGTCCTGCCTTCTCCAGGGGCTTATCATGTGCTGACACCAGGAGACAAAGTCTCGCCAACCTTTCTTTCCTCGAGCAGTACATTCTGGTTGTACTTCTTCCAAGACAGATTGGTCGGCTCTTGCGGCAATCCATGGTGCTATCAATATTCTTTGCTGGCACCATAATTCAAGTGCATGGATTCTTCTTTGGTCTCCCTTATTCAGTGTCGAGTTTTCACGGGGATATACGCGGCAGCTGGAACACCATAGCCTGGGTCATTTCCACGGAAGGGAAAAAATTGTGTCTCACCAAGATGAAAACTTGAATGAAAGAAGGTATTTTGAAGAAAATGCCCCAGAGTGTGGGAGACTACGAACTCTGGGCCTGAGGCAGAGGGACAGGTAAGGAAGTCCCACCCTGGGACTTCTTCACAGCACGTGACTTATCCAAGTCACTGAATCTCTTGGCCTAAGTAAAAAGTGAGGAGGGGACAGTATAATAGTTTTAAAACTTTTATTCCTTCCCCCTAGAAGCAGAAATTGTCACGAAACAAAATGCTTTTCGGTTGCTCAGCTAGGAAATAGACAAAAGCAGAGTCACCTGGCCAGGCTCAGGAGCTCCCCTTTCGCCTCCACCCTTCACCCTCTCTTCCCAAGTTTTCGTCTCCCTAGGCACCCTCCCCGACCCAAGCACCAGGGCCATTCTCCCAGGTCCCAAGCAACACAAAGCACAGCTTGACCATCAGCAGCCGGCCAACGCTTTATAGTCTCTTCCAGCTCTGAGTCTAGTAGCTTCCAAGCTCTAAGTTGCAGCTTTACACATTTCCAGTGAGGCAGGCAATACATGGAAGAATGAATTCTCAAATTTGAAAACCTAGATTATACTCTATCTAGGACCTGTGTGCTCTCCAGCAAGTTAGTTCATCTCTTCCTTGTCTGTGAAATGGGGAACCATAGTGTATTGCTGTTCTATAAGGAGCCCTGGTAGTGTAGTGGTTATGAACTGGGCTGCGATCTGCATGGTCGGCACTTCAAAACCACCAGCAGCCTCTTGAGAGAGAAAGACTGGACTGTCTACTCCTCAAACGGTTATAGTCTCAGAAACCCACAAAGGGGTTGCTGTGAGTTAGCACTGACTCGAAGACAGTGGGTTTGGTTGTGAGTCTGGTCGATAGCTACATAAATGTTCTAAGAGTGGAACTCTCCTACCTTCCTGTCACAAAACCAACAACCCTCACTGCCATCAAGTCAAATGGTCTAACCATTGTGGAAAAGATACGGCGCTTGCTTAGAAAGTTGGAAACATAAATACCATTTGATCCAGCAATCCCACTACTAGGTATGCAAAAAGCTCATGGGAAAACTGAAAATCAAAGATAAAGGGATTTTCCCATGTACTTTCTGAATCCCCTTAATATATCATAAAAAAATAGGATGTGACACAAACAGATATGTGCACACCCATGTCCATTGCAGCGTTCATCACAATAGTGAAGAGAAGGAGAAGAAAGAAGCCACGTGCTTTCCAGGGGAAACACACACTGTGGAACATACGGTGTGCACAGTGCTTGTACACAGAACAAGACCGTGCGCCACGCTAAAGAATCAGGAACGATCCATAGAACCCGGATGAGCCCGGAGGGCACTGAGCTGACAATAGCAAGCCCACCACCAACGAACAAGCACTGCGTGAGACCACAGCGAGAAAACATCGGGGAAAAGTAACAACAGAAAGAACCATTCTTTGATGTCGACCAGGGAGAGGCAGGGAAGAGGAGGTAAAATCATTTGATAATGAAAGCATACTAGCTTTTCTGCAGGGAAAGACAGTGTCCTATAAGGGGCGACTAGCACCGTGTCATGCAAGACAAAGAAGACACTGAGAGGTGTCCCGGTGTTACAGAGAACAACGATAAAAATATTTTTACATATACAACCCTGCAGTATCAATAAAAGCAGGAAATAGTCTACAAGTAGATTCCTAGGCAGACATGTAAACTGAACAGGCATCGGTAAGTGAGCTACATTAGGCTACATATATTGCTAGGTTTAGCAGAGGACAAGTCTACGTGTTTATTTGTGTGAGCTGTATAGTAAAGCAAACGGGACAAAGTCATGAAAACTTCTTAGCATAAAAATATACCTTGTGGGAATGAGTCACCGGTCTTAAGATCCCAGGACCACAGTCTCAGGGGACATCTAGGTCAACTGGCACAACTTAGTTCACAAGTTTCTACATTTTAGTGTGAAGAATGGCAACCGGTGTGTAAAATAACTCGCAAGTGGCCACTGAAGATGCAACTATTGGTCTCTCGCCACCCAAAGGAAAGAAGAGTGATGAGAATCAAATACTCAAGCAAAGAATTAGTGCAAAGGACTGATGCACCACAGGAACCATGGCCCCCGATACCCTGAGACCAGAAGAACTAGAGGGTGCCCACCCACTACTTTTCTTTCTTTTTTTTT